AACCCCCCCCCCCCCCAGAAGGTGCCAGATTTTGGGAGGAGGCAGGCCGGCTAACGTTTTGATTTAGACAAAAGATGTCTTCACAATGTCAGCAGAATACTTACTGGGAAGGCTGTGGCTTTCTGGTAGGAAATCATGTGATCTTCCCAGCCAAGGTTTTGTAATGGTGCCAGGCGAGAGAGAGAGAGAGAGAAAGACACTCAGAGGGAGAAAAGGGGGAAACTTTGAATAATGATGCCAGCTAATCGTTTTTATCCAGTTTTTTCTTCTCTTGTTCTTGTTTGTTTCGGAGAAAATGGCGGACAGCACATCGCTGAATTGAACCCGTACTGTCAGTGGGCTCAGTTTAGAAGTGCCCCTCGGTCTTTTCATCATTCCTCTCATTACCAGAAAAAAAAAACCCAAAACAACGGTTGTAACGCTCGCGGCTCATTGCTCACACTCGAGTAGAAAGCGTGGATAGAGAAAAATAGAGATGATAAATCAGACAGGATAGTAGAAATGTGGGTAAGTGGCATTTTCCCTCTCTTCTCACTTCAGACTTTCCTTTGTCGCACTGCGGCCGTAGGAATATTCCGTTGTTTGTGGCTCTCTGGCACTGGCACAGTTAATGGTAGCTGACCGTGGCATGCTTGATTACACTGGCATCCCTCTCAGGCTCTGCTGTCTGCTATCTGCGGTCTTGGCTAAGTTGAGCTAACCTCTTACCACAGCCACATTGCTGCTGGCCAGGAAGAGGGACTGCTATGGCATTCTGCGGGCTAGTTTGGGATAGCAGTCCACAACAGAGTTATGATTGTTATTATTATGGACTTAATTTCATATCTGGGAACTGCTGAGGCATGTGACGCTCCCAAACCGAGGCACAGCAGCTTCAGAATATGTAGCAATTTGCGTTTAAATGTTTGTTCCCCCCTGTGTGGATCTGATCAGTCAGAACAGTACCTTTCTCACCATCACACTACTCATTGGTTTCTTATTCAGTTTACTGATAGTGTTGCTAGTAAAGCATTAACTATTCAGTAAAAACAGCAGCTACATACCGTTGTGTGGTATTTAAAAAAAACCTTTCTTTTTCCTGTTTTCAGAGAGGCAAACTAAAATCTGACCCCAGGCACCGAAACCCCCAGAGCAAGACACTTCCATGAAGGGTAAGTTATCACAATCCTTTTACCATCTGTTTGATGAACTTTGATTTTTTGGGGGGTGAATCTCAACAAAGGCTCAGTTTCTCTAAATGACAGCTGAACTGAACTCTAAACCCTTTCGCTCCAGACTTTGGACTCACTGTCTCTTTCACGCTCTATATGAACGCTGAAGAACGCCTACACTGTCAGCTGACGTTCAGCACACTAGGCAAGAAGTTTTGAGGTCAAGTCATGTCGTGTGATTGGCATCTCTCTCTAAAACACATCGTCTGAGACACGTCACACATTCACTTTCATAGTTCTTTGTCACATCAGAGAGTACAGTGCTCAGATTTTATGATACATTTTTAGTCCTTTATTCAGTTACTTTGATACTTTGGCCATAACCATTTGGCACAAACCCGTAGATCCGATCTTGTGGCAAATCTGACAGCACAAGCTCGCCTCTGTGGGTCTTTGTCATTGTGGTGTGAACGTCGTCTTTTAACCTTTTTTTTTTCTTTTTGCTTGAATAACCTGTTTGGTGATATGAGTGTAGTGTAAAGTGTAAAATATAACAAATAGTCCCATGGCAGTACAAGTTAAAAAAAGGATCTTCCTCTAACATCCCAGCAATCTGCCTCCCTGTTAGTTAGCAAACGCCTTCATTGACTTGAAACTTGAAACTGAAATATGATGAGGGTGATGAGGCTTTGTGTTAGATAAGTATGACGAAGAGAAGTTTCGGCTAGAGGTTGGTATACTTGGCATAACAAATAGAGAAGAGGAATCCTAGTTGAAAATGTGTGCATCCGGGTTGAGGTAGTAGGTTGTATGGTTTAGAATTACACCCTGGGAGTTAACTGTACAACCTTCTAGCTTTCCTTGGAGTACACGTATGACATCAGTCTGTATAGAAAATGGTTTTGCTTATAATGCAGCACGCAGAATGGAATTTTCCAGTAGTGTCCTTGCAGTTATAATGCCATTATGTAGTGCTAATTGTCTTCATATATATGTAATTGTTGCCCATTTGAGGTTCTCATTTCATAGCTGACCTTTAGCCATGGTCAGCCTGCCTGCTGCGGCTCAAAACCTTCAATTAGCGTTAGCTTGACATGCTGTATTTTTAGACACAATGCATTGTGGTTAGTCGGAGTAACTGCACTGCATCGATTGCATTATGGTGTCACACAGAACAAATAAACGAGCAGTCTGTTGTTTTCCTCTATTTGTCTGTAAGTTCCCATATATCAAGTCCTGTTAATGACAGATCTCACGAATATGTGCAGTTGTATGCTAGTAAACAGGCCAAATGACATGTTAAAACTGTTGCTCACAACACAGTGGCATTTTGATCTCCAGCTGCGGTTGTAGCTATTACTGTGAAATTCAGTATGTAAAAAAAATGGAGTGTTAAAATGTTCTAAGTATGCTTTATTTATTGTCTTATTTGGAATTGCCATTTTCTAAACTAAGGTGTAATTGTGTGGTGGAACCTATTTCACACAACGATGGCTTCGCTTTTCAAACTGTTGCTCCATCTTTGCGGCCTGGTATTACACCTCAGCCTGTTTAGTCAGCGTGGGGCCGTGGCGTCTTCTGAATCAGTTGCATGCGAACCGTGTGCCAAGCATTATGATGCACAGATGGTTCGATATAAACACAAAGTATCAAATAAAATAATCATAATAAATCTGACTTGTTCTGTTTAACAGATTCTTCCCGGTGACTGCCATGCCCTGTGGTTTTACAGCATTGCCATTTGCACATTACATTTTAATATTTTTCAGCAGCTGGCTCAGGTTAGATACATTTCTCAGGGCTTGAGAGGTTTGATTATCATACCTAACAGTATTTAAAGCTGTTTGCCCAATGCTGCCATAGTAAACCTCAGTAATATTCCAGGTTTCCCAGCGTGGGAAAAGTTGAATGTTTATACGGTTGTTTCTGGGTCCTGTGATATATTGTCCGCAGTTCCATACAATGATGCATTTGTGATATGAGGTCTAGTTTCAGGTTGAAGCTTGCCTCTGCGACACTGAAGTCTCTGTTTACTGTAGACTTGTCCACTAGGCTGAATGCATCTGACTTCATCTCTGTCTGGCGCTAAGCCACGGCTTGTAAAATGACTCCAAAGCACCACACAGGAGAAAAATGGCCTAGCAGATCAACTAAAGATTTACCACAGTTTGTTACTCTTCAGGATGACTTGATTTGAAATGCAGCTTGAGTAGGGAGCCTTGTTGTAATTTGTGCTGTAGTTCTTTATCAACTTGACAGTGTTTTTTTCAGTTTGATGGATGGCACTGCCTTTGCTGTGTTTAGGGCCAGGGCTGAGTGGACCACCTTTCTGCAACCTTTGTCATTTATCCAATTAGCTCTTTGGTTTCAAGTGGTTGAGATAGCATCTTTTTTCATGGTGTGTGATGCTCAGAGTTTCTTCTGAACTGTTGTTGTACTTTGAAATTTTAAATCGAACACATACTCATTTACAGTGATACATTTATATATATTTTCTCTTTATATTTTTTAGGATTACCTTTGGCTAAAGGATTGTGTATTCATTAGATTTATAATAAGATTGATAATAACCAAGGCTATTCATTTTACATAAATAAAGAAGAAAAATGTAAACCATGCTCCCAAAGCTGTACAGCAAGGGACTAGTTTAACAGGCCGTCTTGTGAGGTTTTCTAATACACAAAGGTTCAATTCCTGAAATTGTCTTGGACAAGTCCTGGAAAACCCCTTACTTGTTTCAGTGCAGATATTGAATGGGATTAATTGGAAACGGCTATTTTTAGATCATCAGTAATTAAATTCAGAGTGATACTAACACCTCCGTTGAAGCCCAGTGATCCTGCTCAGCCTCACATCGCCAACAGAGCCATTGTCATCAAACAGGTTTCTGTGAGGGAATATGATCCTGGTAAATCCCAGGAAACCCAAGAACTTCTTTTATTGTGTATTTTGCATCCCCAATGCTAGGAAGAGCACACTTCCTCATTCAACCAAACATCAGCAGGGTTCATATCACCGCTGCTCTGACCTGCTCACGTGAAAAATGGTCCAACTAACCGCTGAAAAGCAGACGATGTGCGGTGTGTCACAGAGGGAATATTATGCTAGTCAGCTTCAAATGAAAGACTAATGTAGGCAGGAACTCATGTGCCTGCTTTATTTAATCAGAAATACATACCTTATTTTACAGTTTAGCCAAAGTGAAGAGCCTTCCTCTTGGTTAGCTCTCACAAATTTAACAGGGCATGGAGAGTCAAGATGTGCCTTGCTAAAGTTTATTTTAAGAACTGTGATTTTCTCATCTTTCCTCACCTCTGAACCTCAATGGTTCTTCCAGATGTGTAGAGGAAAGTGTCGCTGCTGAGAATCATGCTGCCTCAGCACTACCCTGTCCAGCTGCCCCAGCAGCACAGCTAAAAGTCATTGGTTCCAGCTGGGCCTTCATTTATGGGATGGTTGAACAAATAAATTATGGGATTAGATAGGGGCGGTTCAAGCCGCTGATTTTTTATTTTTGGTCTCCACTGCTGTAACAGCCCCTTTGAGAAGTCAGTTGGCTAGAAGTCTCAAGGTTCTTCAGCTGACTTTAAGAATTAATAAAATAAAGATTCTCTTTATTGAATTTGGTATGCTGCAGTCCAAATTATGTACAGCAGAAAGTGCTGGCAATGACTCAGTGTCACCTTTACACCAAATTCCATTAACAAGCAACAACAAGGCATTCAAGTATAAACCCAAATTAGTGTTTTTTGGACAAACAGCAACTAGAAAACAAGAAAACTATTCTTAAAAATACAAAGCTGTGTATCCTTGGCCAATTCAATATGCATTAGTCAGCCTTGAAACTTATTCACTGCTGTCTCTTACTACCAAGGCAAGAAAGTTGACTGTCCCCTATTGTGTGTACAGCTAAACTGACAAAAGATATGGAAAAGATTCAGAGCTCTTTATAGCTCCAGCTGAAGATAAATCTCACATAGTTAGAAAAGTAAAAACACACTGTCCCCAAAGTATGTGTATATCATTGTCAGTGGAGTGGATCTGGTACATACAGAGGGATCGCATTGCAGATTACACTTTAGCTTTTTTGCTTGGGGATCTGAGAAACCATATATATATAGGATATAACCCAGCACACAAGGGTATCATACTTTGTGATACTTTCTCTTCCTCAGGTGTTCGAGAGCCATCCAAGTCTATCACAGAGAGTGACACTCAAGACACAGCATACTTGTAAAATCAGCCAATTGCCGCTTACGTCTGTAACCGCTCTATGAGCAGTGATTGGCTTCTTTTTCTTGACGTCACAGACGAAAGCAGACCTTAGTAACAAATCGTCTGAGACCAGAACACTGTCAGTTCTGGCCAGACTGGTACTTTAGCTCCCCAACTCATAAAATCTCTCTTCCCTATAAAAGCGAGCAGCCTCGAGCACTATTTCCTCCCAAGGAAACATATTCACTTAATGTGGTCGGGTTAATGGCAAATGAATAATCATAACACACCAATGGCAGACGGGGGGTGTCATTGATCTGTCTGGAGTCAGCCCCTCTCTGCTTGCTGCATCAGCCACTCTCCCCCTATTGATACGCTCTTGCCCCTTGACCCCTGGGACAGATCAATGGCATTGATTGGAGAAGGGCAGGGACAAGGGCAGGATCTGCTGACTGGCCCGACAGCTAGTGTGACAAGACATGATCGTCATTAATGTCCCGCTGGCTGGCTGGCTGGCTGGCTGGCAAGGCGCTGTGCATCACATATTCCCTGCCTCCTGCTCCCCTCCCCCTCCTACCCCCCATCCTCCTCCTCATCCTCCTCCTCCGCTCTCCTCCTTTACCCCTCCTACCTCTGCTACTCCATGTTCCCATTCTGTGCTGCTTGCACTGACTGAGATAAGTCCATTGTTTGGATACCTGTCTGATGCTTGCCTGGCATCTGTGGCACAGATATGCATCTCCAGGCTGCGTGGAGATATTTTGAGCTTATTGTAGAAAAACGAG